CAGCCATTCCAGGCACAGATTCAGGAAAGGTCACCAGCTGCATGGAGTAATCACAGCATTCCATTCTTACACCATAGGATTCAGCACTCTGCAGCAAGCAAGAAAAGCTGGCAGGAGAGGGAGAAGCCAGGGCTGCTAAAGCTGCATAAAGTTAATTTTTCCTTCACACTTTCTATTATGTTTCTTGGGGGAACTCCTTGGGTTCACTTCTGAGCTCACGCTCAGTGCAGTTCAGGTTCCTCAGGCCTTTCCAAATTATGTTCACCTCTAAATAGAGAAACTTTTTGCAAAAATGAAGCAAGGTAAGGCTCTTGTTCTGGAAAAATACTCTCTCGGTACAAATGCTTCCCTCCAAATGACTACTCTTCCTGATTCCTCCATCCCTGTTCAACTCCCAAAAGGCTGCACAGTGATACTGAAATGCATTAATCTGAAAGCAGCTAAACCAATAAATTTCAGTTAGAGATTTAGTTGACCTTGTTTTGGTTTTAGCCAAAATTGACCTTTTAGCTGCGTGACAAAACTTGCTGGATACACAGACAATCTCCACTTCTCATGCACAGCAACAGACTCTTCTTGGGATTCCTTTTGCTTACATGAGCAATTTTATGTGTCCCAAAATTCATCATAACCATATAATATTTTAACAATATAAACTGACAATTTTTAGCACTTTTATTATCTTTCTCAATTGATTAGTTCCCTAAAAAGGTGACTCTAGTGTCCCCCCAATGGCAGCCAGGATCTTATTTTTTGGAAATACTGATTAATCAATTTGTTTGATTGGTAGGAGACATATTTTAAGGAAAAACATACACATACATTTCAATAATCCCAAATCAAACTGTTTCTGAACTTTAATATTGAAACTACTGTGTTTAAAGTTCAGAACTGCTACATATTAATAAATTCAATAGGGATAACTTATCTAAAATCTACTCATTACACTTAAGAGTACTGTTATGAGAAACAGCAGTTTAAGTCAGATGTCACAATACTTGAGGCCATTTTTAATACTTCATTCTGTTTATTAAGATATACTTCCCCACAGGAATCTACTTACCTCACCTGGATTTTACAGAATGGTCTGTGTTTATTCTAATAGGGGCACTTTAATTCTTCTGAATATTTTCAAATATATTGATTAATGTGGACTTTTCAAGTATTTTGCAAAATGGCCACAGTGACATCTGGTCTGACTTGTGCATAGTGTCTCGCTATGAAAAAGAATTACTTTCCCAATGGGAAGATGCTCATTTTCCTTCCAGGAGCAGCCAGCTCAATGGGGGAGGAAGACACACACGGTGTTAAAGAGTGCTGCCTTGGAAAAAAAATCATGTCTTCATCTTCTCTTTAAATGGAGGATTTGAATATTTTTGTCCTGGATTCAATGTTCTCTCAAAGCAATAACTTTCTTGGCCTCTGATGGCTATTTGTAGCATTCTGCTGAAGGTTTTACCTGCAAACAGTTCCTATATATCATTCTTTCAATTGTACTCTTTGAATTTCACTTTCACATCAAATTTCATAGGTGATTTACTTTCTCTTTGACTATTACCTCCTGAGAAATAATTCCATGAATGAAATTAAGGGGTAGATATCACTCTTAGGTGTGGATCCAGTGAGAACCCACGTGGAACGCTGTGGAAGTCCACAACATATGATGCTCACAACAATCTTAGAAAACACTTTCATTAATGATATAGGAGAGGGACAGAGGAATGTTGAAAGATGAGAGGAACTGTAAGCCACAAAGAAAATGAAAAAATATAGAGCTCCCTTGAGCAGCTGGAAACTCATGCAAGGAAAAAAATTCAACGATGTGGAATTATAAATATTATGAAAATGGGAATAAGATTCATTGTCAGCTGTCTCTTCCAAGGGGCAATAAATGATGTTAAGAGATTCAAAGCAAGGTTTACTTCACTCAGGCAGTTCTGCTGCAGAACTTTTTGCTGCAGGATACTAAAATATGTACATGTGTTCAAAATCCCAGGAGGCTGATAAAGTACTCAGTAGGTATCACTGGATAGCTGCCCTGTTCTCATACTCTAGCACCCACCTCTTGCCAGTGTCAGAGCTGGTAGGGCTGTGGTTATGTCTGTCAGACAAAGTTAATAAAATGCCATATGAAATCCAGAACACTGAAGGGAAAATCCTGAGCATTAAAAAAAAAAAACAAAACAAAAACCTGTCTAAAAAAAGTTTGAAGTGATTGAATTAGATAAATAGAAATAAATAAATAAGGAAGCAAGCAGACCAGTGCTAATACAAGGCTGTTTCTGTAAGGGCTCAGAAATCCAGTGTGAACACACCCAGCATGCAGTTGTAGGCATGCGGTCTCTTATCTCCAGGAAGACTGACAGGCAGGATGGGCTTCACATAAGAACAACCAAATGATTAAGAGATGAGTGTGTGATTTATGAAGGACGATTTAAGGAAAGGTCTTTGCAACTTGCATAAGCAATGATGAAAACCAAAAGTGACAGCCAGGAGAAGAAATAGCTTAGATTTATTTAAAGAGTGTGAACATTATAACAAGGGGGAAAGAATTAGGCTCATAACACAAAGGGCTAAAGTTGAAAAGGAATATGAGGTGAAATATCAAGAAGAATGATCAAAGGTGGGAATTATCTTGGCATGGTTTGTCATACACAAAAAACTTTGGACAAGGAAATTTCACAGAATATGTGGTAAGGGATGATCGGTTGCTGACCTACCGGAAAGAACAGTGGTGCTCAGGACTTCTACATGACCCCAGTGCTCACCCTGGCAGGGTGCTCATGCTCTCACACAGCAGATGCCACATAAATTCTGCTGTTTCTCATTATTTCCCCTTTCACGATGAGGAAAACTGTTACTCACAAGCACTTTCTTCTGGAATACACATGCCACTAGTTACACCTGATGGTCAGACCATGGGGTGTTTCTGCTGTCCAAGTGTAATCTGATCTTTAGGGCAGAGGGGTCCGAGTAAGGAGCCCTCTTAGTTTAAAAAATTCTACAACACAGGGAGAGTAGGCAGCTGTTTATTAGCCAGCTGCAGAATGACATGGCAGCAAGTCAGTGACGGTTAAGATACATTAGCCTCTGTTTCGCTTCTGTATGAGGTAAAACACTGAGTCTCAGCACTGGGAGGATGCTCCAGATGCTGAAGCAGTACATGCAGTGTCCAGCTCTGCACTCTCTGCCATAATATCTCCCTCCACTTCACACATAGTGAAGGTCCTCAGCTCCGGACAGAGAAATGGTGCCTCTGGAGTTCAACATATACTGTGCCACCAGATAAACCTCTTCGCTGAAAAGGTCCTTTATGGGAAATCAAAGGATCCTCTTTCTAGGACAGCATCAGATGGTGGGTGCAGGCAACACTACACTCCCAATAAGTCTCTTCTCTCTTGACTTGATGTCCTACAGGATCACAAGAAGAGAAATAACCCTTCATCCATCTCACTCTTTAGAGGCAAATCATCAGGGCTTGTTGCTCAGAGCAAAATCCTAATGCATCAGGTAAGATTTCAGATGATGAGCCATTATCTCTGAAGACTGGTGGAAATCCTGTCAGCACGAAGGTTATCTACAAGCTGTTAGGTCAGCAGGAGTCCTGCCAGATCAATGGGATATGAAGCACAACTTGCTTTTATAAAAATGTCATTCTTGATTAAGCATAAAAACAAGGCTGGTGAGGGGGTCTCAGGACTGAGGGGAAAAAAGGCTGCACTTTTGTTTGCGAGGATCTTCCTGTCCCTGCACAGGGTTAGACCACAGCAGCTTCCAGCATCAGTGTTATCTTGCTAAGTGCCCTCTGAGCTACATTCCAAACCCACAAGGGAGCAGCCTCCTGGGCCATCTCTTTAGCAAAAAAAGAGCACAGACTCAAGAAGCAGCTCAGCGGGTGCTGGGCACGCATGAGGGACTGAACAGAAGGAGGAACCTGGGAAACTAGGACTCTCCCAACACAATGTAGCACTTAAGACAATGTCTCTTGTAGAAACTGCTATACACCATTCACAGAGTCAGCCACTGCCACTGTGTGGAGGACCAGGCTAGGTTAACTCTCAGCCAGCCCAGAAATATTACCTGTACCTGCTGCTCAAGGCACAGCCATTACAATCCTGTGCCTTATGTAGCAACCTGGCAGAAGCAAGTAATGGGTGAAGGGAGGCAACAGAAGCTGCTGGAGCCCACCCTTGTGAATATCATGTGTAGTCCGTCCAAGCACATTGTGCCTCCCACACTGTACACAGCAGCTCTAAGTCTTCTCCGGCTTTTTGGCTGTAATGATTGCTTGCATTGATTGCTGCCACACAGGACAAAGGATGGTGCTGGCACAGCCCTGCAGCTCAGGCTGCTCCTTATCACTGGAGGATTCACCACACAGTGGTGATACTCCACACCACCTTGTTCTACCTCCTCATGGTGGCATGACAGGACTGACATGCAACTAAAACTCAAATGTTAAAAATGAGGAGGCATTTGCCCTCTCAAGTGAAAATGATGGTGCAAACACCTCTCTGGGACTCCCCCATCATTCCCACACTGAGTCCACCCACAGCACTACTAGCTGCCTATGCCATCCCTGTGGATCCTTCTGTGCCCAAAGGAGCAGAGATGAGCTCTTTCCCTCTCACAGTGCCCACCCAGACACAGTCTCCAGGAGGTTCTCTTCTTGCCTATACCTTCTTTCCCATAGCAAGTCCTCAATACTCTGTGGTCTTTTCTTGCATGCCTGTTCTCCTCTGATTTAAGATTCCCTCTGTTATACACACCCTAAATCACTGGTACAACACACCATGCACAGCACATGTTGACATACAAACACCAAATACAAATCTGCCAAGAATAGCTGATCTCTCTGCCTACCCATGGAAAGCAGGAGAACTGACAGCTTGGGGAAGTTTATTCAGAGAAATGTCAGCCTTCCCATGCTATCTTTTCTTCAGGGAGGTATGAAAATGGCTGAGAGGAGCATGATAAGGGGGTCCAAGAGATATGATTACCTGTATCCTGTCTTCTGGCAACTCTGTTTTCATGGCCAACATCTCTCTAGCATATACGTCAGGATAGTGGGCCTCATTGAAGGCCTTTTCCAGTTCCTCCAGTTGGTAGGATGTGAAGATTGTCCTGAGGGGAGTAAAACTCTTTGATCAAAAAACATAAGAAGAAGCAGCAAAGATGATGAAGAGTCAGAGAAATGGACAGTGAAACCTGGGTAACCTGCTAACGCATAACTTTTCCCCATCTCCTATGTTTCTGTGCCCAAAGGTCAGGTGCCAGGGTGAAAGGAGAACCAGAAAATGCCAGAAGACAGCACCTTTAACAGTTACAAATCACCTTCCCTTTTCAAGGACCTGCCTCTAGAGACTGTCCCTCCCCAGCAGCGAGCACCCGCAGTGATGGCAGCTGCTCTTACATCTCAGACTCCACTGCCTCTTTGGAGGATCCTGGCGGGTGTCCTTATCCTTTATGTCCCCTACAACTTTGAACCCACCCCTGGCCAGGCTTAAAACCACACCTCTCCTCCTCTTTCATTCAGACATTTCTTAACCCTTTGATAGTCACATTGAGAGGAAGCAGCATCCCTTCAGCACCCTGCCTACAGAGGTGCTGAGCCCTTTTCCAGCTGCTGATTCTTAGGCTGTTCAATCTCCATGAGCAAATAATCCTTCACCTCGAGTCCCAGTCCGTGGATGAATTCTCTGAATGTTTTATCCACTCCCTACCACTTTTCACCACTCCTTCCCCACAAGAGCCAGGGCCAGCTCCCTTCCTCTGCCTTTCCCCTGGTTGCTCCCACCCTGATATCTCATTAGCTGCTCCCTGACAGCTTGCATTACCCTATTATCCTCTGGAAATCCTCCTGGACCACTCTGGGCGGGCAGCAGCCCAACCTGCCTTTGCACAGCCAGTTCTCAGTTTGGGACAACCAAATTGAAAAATCAGCAGCTGGAAAGCTGAGACAAATGAAAGCCCTTCTCCAGCAGATGGATGAGAAGTCTCAGACCACTTCCACTCTCCGAGGATTAAAATTCCCACCCTTCAACTCCTCCAGTACAGAAAATACAATTTTTGGTATAAACTAACAATACTCTGATGGCAAAAAAAAAACCAAGAACCAACTAACCAACAAAAAACCCGAACCAAACAAAAAACACCAAAAACCCCCCCAAAACCAAATAGCCACCAAGAAAACAAAACAAAACAAAAATTCAACCAAAAAAACCAAACCAAAATAAAACAATTATCAACCCAAGAACTGCAGCCTTTTTGCAAAGTCAATGTATAAATATCATCGATCTAAGAAACATGTAGCTCCTGGAAGGAGAGAGAAAATAGTCTTTTTCTAAAATATATCCAGATTTCAGAAGGGCCCTACAATTCCAGAGAGCATAAACAGAAATTCTCAGAAATATCCTCCACTATACAGAATGAAAAGGATTCCACCAGATCGATAATATTACTAACAAAAGCAGCATGCAAATGCAAGGGATCTGTCTGCAACCAGACCCTTCTTTAAATTCATTCTTAAATCCATTCTCTTTTCAAACCGTTTTTCTTCAATTCTGACAAATCTGTGAATTCTAGGGACAGCAGAGCCACATCAATTCGTGTATTTTCTCTCTCTAGGACCACAGAAAAAATTATTCCAGTTTTGATCCAGTTTACATTTCAAGCATTCCCCTCCACCTTCCTCCGACAATAGCGCAGAAGCCCGTCCAGGCTCAGCAGCAGGAGGGTTTTGCCTGACGTTCAGCTCAAGTTTTCCCTTTTTAGCTCATCCTCAGGTAGCCCCTGTCCCTTTTGCAATACACAATCCACTGCCCCTTTTGGTGTTTCGATCCTGCAGCTCTATGCAGGCTATTGGTCATCTCCCAGCCCTTCCTTGGTCCAACTAGGGGTCTTAACCGTTTAGTACAGAAGATACAATTACAGACAAATGTTGCAGGTCTGTTTCTGTCTAGAACTGAAAATAAAACAAATCCCCATCCAGACTGGGACCTGTACACCAGATTCGGTTGTGTTTTCACTCAGCCCTGTCCGGGCCACAAAGAAAATGAACTCGTATTTACTCCAGAGCACCCAAACTGGTAATATTTGCCTGTGGAGGGGCTCCGAGTTCAGGATGAGCCCTACAGACCGAGCCTCCTGTTGCATACATAGCAGGACGCCTCCTGGGACAGTCGGTCTCCTTCCACCCCGTATCCTGGTAAGCTTTCACTGGGGCGTGTTTTAATCCACCTTTCCTGCATCGTGGCAGGATTGATTTAATTATTCCTAAATCACCCTCAGTGGATGGTGCCTGGCCTTCCTTTGTCCTGACGCTCCGGCCACAGCAACGCCAGAACCCAGCACAGGATTTTTTGTTTCTGTTTACAAGGCACAGACAATCCAACTCCTTTTTAACTGTGGGAGAAGTCAGACAAAGTCTATTACCCTGACCATGCTGAGGGGAACCAAATCCCAAAGAGGATCTTCATTTCCTTAAACAATTTTCCACCCTTCTTCAGCTTCTCTGAAGGTTGTCTCTGATTCCCAATTATTTAATCTATTGGCAAAACACTTATTTCTAAGTAATAAAATATTTAAATTATTGATAGGAATTCTGTCTTGCTGACAGCCAATATTAAGATTACTGTGCGTGGAGCTGATAACGGGTTTTATTATTTCTGACAGGTGGATGATTTTCCCTTCCCGAACACCGGTGATCCCTATTCCGCCTAGATGCTCATGGGCTGTTCGGCATTGCGACTGGGAATACCTGGATCCGCAGCCAGAAAAAAATTAATAAAACGACACCTGTGGTCGATCCCCCCGCTCCCTGTAGGTACGTCCCCAAATCCGATTTATTTTGGACGGGGAAAAAGAAAAAGGGAAGGAGCCGGTGGAGAAGCCGCAGGGGCGCTCCGGTGGCGGGTGCCGGGAAGAGTATTTTGCTCCGGGCCGGAGCGGGTCGGCCCCACCGGCGCGGCGGGGCTCGGTGGTGCCCAGTTCCCTGGAGACTGAGGCAGCGAGAGCCGGCGAGGTGGCCTCCCCTGGCTTACCTGTGCCGCCTCTTCTTTCGTTTCTTGCTCTGGTTTAAGGAAGATTTGGACATTTTTCGGTCGCTGGAGGAGACATCCTCGGAATCTGCGGAGAGACAGGCAGCAGCTGTGGGCTGGGGCTCCCTCCCCGCCAGGGACCCCCAGGTACAGCCGGGCCAGGCGGCTCCCCTCCCTCCGCCAGCTCTGGCCGAAGATTTCGTTGCGGTCGCGCCGCGGACGGGGCACGACGCCGGCCGCTCCCTCCAGCGCGGCGCGACCCCAGCGCCGCTCCCGGTCCCGGTGAGGGCAGCTCGGGGCGATCCGCCTCGGACAGGGAAGGCTCCGGGCGGGAACCGGGCTGCAGCTCTCGCCTCTCTCCCGCGGTGTCGTTTGCTGAGGCTGCTGTTGTCTCGCTGCTAAAATGCAGAGCCCGGAGAGCTCAACCAAAATGTGGGGAAACAGGGAAGCTGCAACCCTCTCCCCGTGGCCGGGCATCCGCGGCCGCCTGCCCTAGCCCGGGGATCCCGGACTGCGCCGCAGAAACACCGGAGCGGGGACGGAGAAATTGAGGTTTATGGAGCTACCAGCAAAAACAAACCCCGGGAGGAGCTGGTGCCTATCCGCAGTCCCCGACTTCCAAGGGGATGTTAAGGACAGGACACCGCCGCCTTTGCCCCGAAGGAGCAGCCGAGGGACGGAACCGGGACCCACATTTCGATGCGCGCTCTGGTCCCGCTCCTGCCCGCGGCACCGCGCTAACCTGCCCGGCCCCGGCGCCGTGCTGCTCGGCGGGCCGTGCTGCGGGCACGGCCCGGGACGGAAACCGCGTCGGACGGCTCCGGCCGCTGCCGGGAGAAAGCCAGGGGTTGCCCTCGGGGCCAGGGTCGGGCGCTGCTGCCTGCCGCTCCAGGGGTACCCGAGGAGGCCTCGGGAACGGGCCTGAAGGAAGGGTTGTAGGAGGCTGCTGCCGTCTAGGAAAAGGATGCCGAAAGGCCCCTAATTCTCTGGCAACGACTTGGGGTGGCGGGGGACCGCTCCGACGGGGCTCCGCGCATTCCAGGGCCGGGCGCCCCCGGCCACGCCGTCACGTAGCGGCCGCAGCCCCGAACGGGGGAAAATACGGTCCCGTCCGCCCTTCTCCTCTTCCTCGGAATCGAAACGAAATCGCCTTCCCGCCGCCGGGCAAGTGGCCTCCCGGCGGGGCGCGGGATGCGGGTGGCTGCGCTGGTGGGGCGCGGCGGGTCCCCGGGGGCCGGGGACGTGCCTACCTGAGCTGGCCGTCTGGCTGCTGTCCAACTGCCCGGGAGCCCGGGCCAGGGGCTGCAGGTGGACGCTCTGGGGGTCGGAGAGCACCTCCAGGAAGGTGGGCTGAGTGTAAAAGCCGGGGATGCCGCCGGCCCCCAGTAGCCCCATGCCCACACCGCCCACCCCGGCGGGGCTGAGCACAGAGCGGGCCGCCAGCAGGTGCCCGGCGGGCAGAGAGTCCAGGGCGGCCCGAGGGTGCGACGGCGGCTCCTTGTTCAAGCCCAGGATCTCCTGGATACCGAAACCGGTGCAACGGGGAGGGGTGGGCCCGGAGCTGGGCTTGACCCCTGCCGCGGGGGGCGGCGGAGGCGGTGGCGGGGCGGCGGCGGCCGCGCCGTCGGGCTTGGGCTTGCTGGGCAGGCTGGGGGCCAGCGCCGCGCCCGCTTTGCCCGTCATGCTGCGGCCGGCGGTCCCTGGTGCCCGCTCCGGGAATGCCTGGGAGCCCCCGGCTCAGGCCCCTTTTATCCGCCCAGCCGGGAGCCCGAGCGGGGTCAGAGCCGCGCAGCCAATCACAGGGGCCAGCCGCGATCAGGGATGCCAAAAAGCCGGCACCGGCGGCGGCGGGGCCGCTGCTCGGCGGGCTGGGGCCGGTGCCCGCCAGCGGGCTGGGGCCGCCGCCGCCCCTGCGCAGAGAAGGGCCGGCCCGGCCCGGCCCCGTAGGCCCCGGCCCCGCTTCGCCTCCAGCCGTGCTGGGGAGGTGGGGTTAGGAAGGGAGGGAGGGATGGAGGCATCCCTGCTTTCATAAACACGCACGGCGTGGGGCACCGGCCCTGGAGGAGAGATGTGTAAAGCCTCCGAGCAGGGAATGGATGGACTCTCTGGCTTTCTTGCTTATCCCATATTCTGAGATAAATATGTGGTCAGCAGAGAAATTAGGGACCTTGGAGGAAACCCAAGAATTAAAACTGAGCAGCGTTCCTTGAAAATGTAGAGCTGGAAGCTTTACATGTTGGAGAAACATTCATGCCGTCAGAGGAGGTGAAACAGTTGCTTGGACTCTCTAGACACCCATGCCCATGCCATGATTTCTGAACTGCACAGTTCCTCAGGAACTTGCCTTTCACCAGTTGTGGCAAGATACCCCACAGCTTGTCCTTGCCAGCATTACCCCAGCCAAAGACATTAAACTAAGAGAAAGCTAAAGCATCCCATTTCACTCAACCTGAGGCCACAGCTCCACCACAGCATGTACCATGACAGTGATCAATAGTCCACAGTGTGGCTCCCAAAGTCTGCCCATGGGTGCCAGTTAATCAGTGGAACACCAAACTGGGGCTGGGACTCTATCTCCAGATCAGCATGAAAAGCATATCTTCTGCTTCAGCTTCGAGGGGAAGCAGCCCTCTGTTCCTCCTCTTCTTAGCTTTGCAGGCCTCTGGGGTAGTCCATCAGGCCAAATGGCTGCTGCTTTCCTGTGAAGGGGAGGTTCTTCTGGTCTCTGGAGGAGACTCTGCAGTGGCCGGTGCATGGTGGCACAACAAGGGCTGGGAACTGTCTCTGAAAATTGTGGGATCTGTCCAGGATGGCCACAGGTGTTTTAGACTGGCAAAAGGGCACATCCTGCATACTTTGGAAATCCTGGTTTAAAGTCTTGGCCTGCCAAGACCTTGCCAAAAGATTGGGACTGCTGCAGGTGCTGAATATTACACCTTCCCTGAGCAAACCAGAGGCACCTCCACTGTGATGGCAGGATTGATGAAGCTGTCTACTATTAGAGTGGCAAGGTGGTCATGTACTGACCTGCTATTTCAGATATTCCCAGCCATTATTTTAAAGCAACTCATGACTCCACAGTGAAGGAAATGGTTCCTAAGAGGTGAATGAAGACTGCCAGGGCACTGTAGTGGCTAGCTGTTCCCTAAGGGACAGGGAGCTGGGAGCCAAATGTTATAACACAGTCATTGGAGCAGGATCCCTCCAGCCAGGGCCCTGTCACACTGTACCTGACCAAGGCAGGCAGAGCAGTTGTGGGCAGTAGCCAGATTCAGCATTCAGTCCAGATCACCAGACAAGTTGATGGGGATGAGGCAGATCCCTATTCAAGCTGTGAAGTTCAAGTCCTACCCCCTGGGTGGGGTCTAGATCAGTAGGGTACAATGGCCAGGTACAGGCATGTAGCTCTGGCAGGAGCCAGGAATGAGACCCTCAGTCTAAAAGCAGCTGCCGAGCAAAGGAGGGAGGAACCCTTGCTGAGGGTCCCTCCAGGTCTTTCCTAACAACCTTGAGCAGCCAGCTTCACTCTTAGAAGGTGGGGAGGTTGTGCTACAAGCCTTGTGAGGGACATCTCAAGCAATTCTACCATATCAAACCTTGGTTGTGTCTTGTCTGCATTAGCAGATAGGTACAGAGGGGTGGGTTCTTTGGATGTGCTAGCTCATGCAGTACTGACACAGAGCCCAACTTGACAAGCCCAGCAGAGTTTACCAGCCTGAGATCCACTCTGCAGTACATGTCACCTCTATCATTTTGTGCCTCCTCGACTGGTGATTGGAAGTAGTTCATACAAAGTTAATGCTCCAACCACTGCCAGGCTATAGAGGTATAGACATAGGTTCTTTGCTGATGTATACTGAGTTTCTTGGTGTTTTCATTGCTTTGCTCCAAACGCTTCATCACCTGCCCCCTGGGGTTTTCTTGTGGGTTTTGAAGTGGAATGTCTCCCAACGGTACTCCATACACCCTCATCTCTGTTTTCCATGGGGGTGCTGGAGGGCACTCCATTCTCCTGATCGTGTCTTCAAAGCTGTGAGGGCAGCTCTGTCTGCCTCTGCCAAATCTTTGTATCTGGTGACTGAGCTGCAAAACTCAGACTGCGGCTGTCTGCTTTTCAATAGGCCTTCTCTCATTCCTCTTTGCCTCTCTGCAAGCTTTTGTGATTAGGAAACTGAACTTGTATATCAGTACTTACTTATATTTCAATACCTGTGTGACTAATCTCTGGCAATATTTTCAACCAGAAGAAATTCTGTCTTTATTTGAGCTTTCCTCGTCTAAATGGCTCAGATGGTCTCGTGGGGAGAGGAACCTTAGAAACCTCAGATCCTCTCATATTTTTCTGATTCAGCTCATCCTTTGCCTTCTTCCACAGTTATTCTGCATTATCCTTGATGCCGAACTTTTCCACTTCTCCCATTTCTGTTTGCAAATCTGTCCCTCATCCAGGGCACACATATTGGGCTGATTCGTTTCTTCATTCAGTCTTGACTTTACTCCAGCCTTCTTCTGTGTCCTTGGACAACCTGAATCCCAGAAGCAATGTTTGTCATTACCCGCTCAGTCTGCAGAAAAATGTCACTTCTCCTCCATTTCTATCACATTTCTGTCAGCACAGGATTCAATGCTGTCTTTCTCTTTGTCTAGACAGACTTCAGTGGATTCAGTGGATAAAAGTGGCTTATAAAAAAGATGGAGAGCAACTTTTTACATGGGCAAACAGTGATAGGACAAGGGGGAATGGTTTTAAATTGAAAGAGGATAGATTTAGATTAGATGTTAGGAAGAAATTCTTTATTCAGAGGGTAGTGGGGCACTGGAACAGGTTGCCCAGAGAAGTGGTGGATGCCTCATCCCGGAAGTGTTCACGCCCAGGTTGGATGGGGCTCTGAGCAACCTGATCTAGTGGGTGGTATCCCTGCTTATGGCAGGGGGGTTGGAACTAGATGATCTTTAAGGGCCCTTCCAACTCAAACCATTCTATGATTCTATGATGATTCACACAGATAGGTCACAGACCTGTTCTCCCTGTGCTCTTCCATCTCCTCTACAATGGCTTTTGGGTTCTTCCAGCACAGCATCAGATATCTTGCTCTCCTCTGCCTGTTCTGACAGTGGAAGTGGCCATGCAGCTCCTGCCTGTCTCCTTTCAAATCCTATATAGGGAAAAGTACTTTGAATAAAAGTATCTCTCAGTATGTTTCTATTTTAGCTGTGCTCTTAAACTTTGGGGAGCACTAGTGATCAACTGCAGTTGCAGTCCCTTGACAGTTTCACATTATCCTTCCACCATATGTTGTACTGTAGATATAGGACATGATAACGCTAATATGACAAGAAGAGACACTTGCCGTATTAATAAAAACTGCTGAGACACAAAGACTGACCAGAGCTACCTGCCCATAGATGTTGTAAATTCTGTCTGTCACACAAAGTCTTCAAATCAAGGCTGAAAATTTTTAAGAGGTGATCTATAACTCATCCAGAAGCTATTGGCCTGACACATAAATTATTTGGTCAAGTTTTATAGCCTATTTTATGTTGAAGTTCAGGCTAGAAGGTTGTAATGTTCCCTTCAGGCCCTAAAATCTTGAACTCTATGGATCTCGCAGTGTCTGATGGGTATGTTCTATCTACAAGAAAGCCTTCCCATATAAGAAGCTTCTGAGGTCAAGTGTCCTGTTGAACATATCCTTTTCTTTACATGTCAGTATATTGATCTCTAAATAATCAAGATACAAAGTACATGATGACAGAAGATTATGGTACTGTCATACCCATGGCTAAAAGCTCTCAGCTGCTGGCTGATCTCTCAGTTTCTGCCTGCTCTGAAATATCCTGGTAGCTGCACCTCTTAACCCCTGGGTAAAATCCTCATCCCGCTGAAGACAGCAGGACCTTGGTCATTGACATTTAACACAGCCAGGATTTCACTTTGCTTAGCACTTCTTCTGGCATTTTGGTTTTTTCCCATTACACCTCTTCTTCTCTCCTGACACAGATGCATCCATATTTCTCCTTTTTCTCTCCTGTGGCTGAGCAGCTCCATTCATGCCACATGGAACATCCAGCTGGTAGGACTCAACCATTCCTTACCACAGGCCGTTCCTCCATCCCGCAGTTTTCTGTAGCAAGGTCAGAGTAACTCATGACACTTTTCCTCTGGCATCTTTCAGCTTGAGGCATTGGGCAGCTCTGCCCTGCTTAGGACAAGGAGTTAAACAATACCTTTTGTGCACGGGGCTGCTGAGTGGTTAAGGGCTGGATACCAAGGCTTTCTGTTAGCTGAATATATCAGTAAATTCCAGTTGGCTGTAAATAAGAGGGGAAGAATTTAACCCTTTGAGCAAGTCTGGAGTGGGTACTACATGTCAGCGCTCCACCACATCTGATGTCCACTGCCCACTCCTCTCTCTGGGCAGTCCTGGATGGTGCAACACCAGAGGCTTCTTGCCACTCTTTTCCATGCCCTAAAAGAGAAGAGAATAATATTCAATGAATAAATGCTTCTATCTCCTTTTGAAAGAAGCTTACTAGAACTGATTTTTATACTAAGCTAGACCCATAGCATATATATGCTTTTAACCATTCTGGAGAAACTGAACTTATTTTTGTTCTGGGGACAATATACAAGATAAAGTATCTAAAGAAGCTTTCTAGGCAGTTCATGGCCTGGGTTGCAC